CCTTAGCTATTCAATTTAATTTAGGTTATTAGTTTGCTATTTTATACCATTTTCCAAAATTTAATTTGAAAGATTCGACAAGGAGACATACAATATTAAAATAGGTATGATGTTTTGTTTGTTATAGAAGTAAAGCAAAGAACATTTAACCATTCACATATTTCCTTTTTTCGTTTTTTAAAGTATTTTCTTTCCTCTATTCTTTATTGGAATATGAAATTTGATTTATTGTAGCAAGAAACATAAATTCCTTTACTTATAATGAAGTTTGAAATATATGTATCAGACAAGATATGACCTCCCTCACATTAGCCCTTCCCCACCTTTACTTTCTTTCGTATATTTAAGGTTAGGTTTCGTGAAAAAAAATATTAATTGTTTTCATATATAATAAGTTTTATAATGACGAAAAGGAGTTGGTAAGCACTGCACTCACAAATCGAAAATTGCTAATTCGAATCACCAACGGAGCAAAAGAATGAAAACTTCTAGAAAGGGCTAAAAAGAAGTTTATAAAAATATCATTATAATATAATTTAAATAAATATTAAAAAAATAAAAATGATAGACATTACGTATTGAGGATGAAGGGAGGAGCGATATTGCAAAGAGGTGGTGATGATGGTGTGGGTTCTGAAGTCCGAGTAGGATGTCACTTATTAAATCTATTTTTATCGAAAATAATTTAAGAAAAACATATTTCATATAAAAATATTTTTTATTGTTCATAATTAATGATTTTTTTCTTCGAATGGTCCATACATCTTCTCCTAGAGACATAGTTATAATGTGGTCCACATGTGCAAAAAAATTTTCTTCTATGTCTCAATAAAGAATTATTACTCATCTGTCTCCATTCAAGTATACGTAGTTTGAATTAGCATATAAAAAGTTATAATCTATAATAAATATATTAAATATTAAGATGAATTAACTTATTAAGAATATAACATATTATAAATTATAAGAATAATATTCATTTTTAAAATGAAATTAAAAAAAAAATGTAACACATAAATTAAAAATAAACATAAGTACATTTTTTGAGAAGTTAGATCTCTCGAGGCTACTAAATGACAGAGTTGTTCCAAATTCTAAACTTTTTTATTGATTAATTTCTTCGTTAAATTAAGCATCAAAAGTTGTGAAACCACTTTCCCGCCAAAACCTATATAACTATTTTCGACTCAAAATTTATACAATAAACATATCTATATAAAAAAAATTGAATATAATATCATAAATAATTGAATCTACATACATAAGATTGAAAGAGTTTAATCTGTCTTGCTTTATGATTTAATCCTCATGTTCCGAAAAAAAAAATACTCATCGACCATCAAAGACGATGAATTTTTTATAAGACCCTTGTACATGCCGTCTCCTCTCCCCATCTTATACCTAAATTGAATTTAACTTCTAATGATAATGAGTAAAACCTGTTGTAGGCGGCTTTTTAACTTTCTAACGCATTAACTTAAAATTTTGAATTTAATTATCAGCGATTCAATATACCTTAGGTAAATATAAGTAGATAATATTTAAATCTTAAATTCGTCTCTCCGTGCTCCACCGGAAAAGTCAGCCATCTTCACATGCACCCTGCAACAAAATATCTCCATTTCTCCATCACCCATAGGCCCATGCCTCAGTTCTTTCAAAATAGTACATTCACAAAGCGACCTTCTTTTTCCCCTCTCTTTCTCACCCCTTTTTAAAGTCTGTTTCTTTCTTCTCTCTCTATATCTTTTTCACTTTATTAATACACTTTTTTTTTTCTCTTTCCTTAACCCTTTTTTAAATTTCTCCCAAATGGAGCTTCTCTCTTCATTATTATCTTGTTCTTCAACTACATTATGTCTTCTTCTTTTGTTACAGTTTTATGTAGCTTTATCTGTTATATTATTAAGGAATCACCATAATAATAACAATAATTATAATAACCCAAATCACAGAAACCCAATTCTTCAAGGAAATCAAACTTCATGTTCTCTCTTTATAGGTAGTTGGGTTTACGATGAAACTTACCCATTTTACCAATCAGCTTCTTGCCCCGCCGTCGATCCACAGTTCAACTGTCAACTCTACGGCCGACCCGATACGGAATACCTAAAGTATCGATGGAAACCGGCGAACTGTGAGCTACCCAGGTACTTGAAACTTGATTTTACACCTTCTTCAATGGAGTTTCGATTTTTGATTATTTTTTCGTTTTTTTCGCTTAATAGGTTTAATGGGCTTGAGTTTCTGTTGAAAATGAAAGGGAAAACAGTGATGTTTGTGGGTGATTCATTAGGCCGGGATCAGTGGGAGTCGTTGATTTGTATGATTTCAGCTGATGTACCTAAAGCTCAAACGCAGATGTCGAGGCTTTACCCTATTTCAACTTTCAAGTTCCTGGTATGCGCCTCGCTATTGCTTTCTTTTTTGTTTATGTTGATTTCACTTGTATTTTCACCAATGGTAATCGATTTTATGTGCTGCATTGTGAGGATTTAAGACCTATATACAAGCAAGCTCACATGTTGAGCCGGAGCTAGATTTTAGGGAACGGGTTCAGTAGAATCCAGTAATTTTGATTCAAACTCTAATAGCTGAGCTAGCTAGAGTGTAGCTTCGATTCCTGGCTCCGACTCTGCTCACACCACGAAATTTCGCAGTGTAGTAATTTTTTTAATGTGATTTGGTGCTAAAATTAAAGATGGTGTGATTGTTGCAGGATTACGGAGTTGCTATTTCATATTACAAAGCACCATATCTAGTGGACATAGACACTGTACAAGGCAAAAGAGTGCTAAAATTGGATGATATTAGAGGAAATGCTAATGCTTGGCATGATGTAGATGTATTATCTTTTAATACTGGTCATTGGTGGACTCACAAAGGTCCTCTTCAAGGGTATATTTTCCTTTCCCAAATTTATTCATCATGTAGATTTTTTTTTCACTTTGGACTTTGATTTTTCTGAACTATTTTAACAT